ATATAATTGTGTGGGAATATCGCATTTATGGGGATTGGAGACTGCCTCTGTCTGTGTCAAAGTTAATGTTCTTGTGAATGCTAAGAAAGGTTCTAGCAGGAAAATTTGATTCTCGCTTATTCTTTCCTTCTCCTCTCTTTGTTCCTTCTGGTAATGCTTTGCCCTTGTCAATAGCTCTACACCTATAATATTAGTGACCAACATCAATAAGATCTCACATTAATATCAATTCAGCCCACTAATTTGCCAAAAATAGCAATAACCGTCCTATAATCTTACCTGCAAGGTATCCATGCACGTAACCGTTAAATTTTTCACTTGTCTGTTCGCCAGTAAAGAAAATGTGACCAACTGTGGCCTGTGTGGAACATAAGAACCAGTCACAGAGTTAAGTCATGTTTACAATTTTTAGACAACTAGCATTTTGAAATAATTAATAATCCGAGGGTAAAAGATGTTTATTCATCTAACAAATATGGTCTATCTTCATATTCTGAACGACTTGGTTATTAGAGATTATGGGGTAGTTGTTGTAGCTGCCACACTGGAACCTGTTGTTTCACCAGTAGGGAACTATAACTACTGCACAACACAGCACCTATATACCAAGTGTATGGAGGCTCCTTTTTATTTTTCATTTTTATATTATGTGCTTGCATTTGCTTGTTCATCCTATAATCTCATTGCATGGTATCCACCATGTACTACCCATTTTCATTGGTCTCCTCACACAATATCAGAACAGCAGAACCACAAGTGTGGTTATGACGACTAATAGAATTGTTAAGGTCACAAAATTTGTATTTAATTTTATTAATATTTATAATTTTTTTTTCAACAAATAGTTATAATGTCTAAAAATATCAATTTATAAACTAATTTTCCACTTATTAAGTAATAAATATCCATTGTTTTATTAGTTATTAATTGTTTTTAACAATTAAATTAAATAAAATCAATATTTTTTTACATAGTTTTAGTGGCTTTAACAATTCCATTAGTGGCCATAACCACACCCCAAAACCACCATTGATTTGCCTTTTTGAAAAGGTGTTATAAATTTAGATTAAGTAAACTTTAAGGACCGTTATTTTAGGAGAATTTTTCTAATCTACATATATATATATATATATATTATAAAGGAGAAACCATTATGAGAAAGTTTGTCATATATCATATTTATATGTTTTCCTAAATTTACTCTTCTTTTGACATGTGGGCTTGGCTTTCCTTTTTAGGTAAATTTCTTTCTTTTCAATTCTTTTTTAAATGTGATTATTATTATTACTAAAGTCAAAAAAGTAAAAAATATCATACTGTTTAATAAGTTATTCTACCATCAATTAATATATGAAAATAATGTCTATCAATCTTATCTTCTAAAGATTAAGAGGAAAATCATCCTAAAACTACGTCGTTTCAATAAATTTTTATTGAAAAAAACTAAATTACCATATTTTCAAAACATGTATTAAAGTGATTTTTATCTTTTTTCTTCTTAATTTTTTGAAAGTAAAGCAGACAAGCACTAACCGCTTAATATATTATAGCTATATATTTAAAATGTACAATAATACATTTTATTGGCTGCACTTTTTTTTCCAATTAGAACACTTAGAACATTTTTTTTTTCCCTTTCTCTAACCACTTCTTGCAACAATTCCATGTCCTTTTTCTAAGTAATTAATAACTAATAATAATTAAAACAATAATATTTAAATTTGAATAGTGATTGTATGATATTTGTAAAATTAAATAAAGTGTGAATCTTTATTTTTTTTCAACAATATTAGA